GGTGCCCGCGGAGGTCGGCCGCAGGGCAGCAAAAGAGAGCGAAATTCCCAACTTCAAAGGCTCCGATCTCGGCCATTTTCCACTCGTTTTGGCTGATTTTTGGACGAGCGATCATCTCTCGGAACGGCCTCGAAGCGTGGATGCTTTTTCCGGAACGCGCGCGCGCGGAACACTCACATTGAAGCGACGTTGAATCACCCTTTTGCTGCCCAGGTCGGCCGCGTCGACGCGACCGGCGACGGCCGTTTGACGCGCGTCGTCCCCTTCGGCGCCGTCGCGGACGCCGCGGAGCGCGGCGGGGGCGACGCGCCCTACCTCGCGCAGCACCGGCTCCTGGACCAGATCCCGGAGCTCCGGGCCTACGTCGCGGACGTGCTCGACCTCGCGCCGCGGCGGCGCGTCGCGTCGGTCTGGGTCGGGCCCGCGGGCACCGTGTCCGCGGCGCACCACGACCCGGCGGACAACCTCTTCGTCCAGTTCGCCGGCGCCAAGAAATGGGACCTCTGGGCGCCGTCGGACGACGCGCCCGCGCGGCCCGCCGACGAGACGGTCGCGCTCGAGCCGGGGGCCGCGCTCTTCGTGCCCCGGGGCTGGTGGCACGAGGTCACGGCGCTGGACCCGGCCGTGTCGCTGTCCCTCTGGTTCGACGACGACCTCCCGGACGGCGCGGAGCTCGCGCGCTTCACCGCGGACCGGAGCCGGTAGTAACGCGCGAAGGGAACGAACTGGTATGTGCACACGAAGCGACGGGCGAAGGCGCGGGCGTCGGAGAGGCCACGCCTCAGATCGGGCCCGAGGAGGCGTCGGAGAGGGACGAGGCCACGGACTCGAGGGACTTGCTCCGCTTGCGGCCGAAGGTCTTCCGGAGCCGCGCGAAGAGGTAGGGCGTCGCGCCCCTGGGCGCGACGGGCGTGAACGAGTCGACGTAGGCCGCCTCGTCGACGGCGTGCATCGCCGCCTGGTTCTCGATCTCGTCGCGGATCGGGTCGCCGACGCTCAGGCGCTGCGACAGCGAGACCACGGACACGCCCGCGCCGTTGCGTTTCTCCAGGACCTCCTTGCGGTCCAATGCGCTCGTGAAGCTCTCCAGCAGCAGCGCCAGGCCCGTGGCGTCGCCGATGGACGCCGCGTAGTGCAGGATCGTGTTCCCGTCGGGCAAGGGGGTTTCGAGGTCGTCCTTCTCGAAGAAGCGGAGCTGGGCCCGGAAGTCCCTCTCGCCGCCCATTGCGACGGGCATCTTGTCCGTCAGGAACGGATGCCAGCAGACGGGGCTCGGCGACCCGGGGACCACGGCCGGCCCCCGGTCGAAGCTCGGCATGTCGTGCTCGAGCTCGACGCACTTCTCACTCCGCTTCCGCACCGGCCGCTTCTGCGAGCTCCTGGCGGCCCGCCGCGCCCGAGCCAAGTCCCGATGCTCCCGCCGGTCCTCGGCGCTCCGCGACCGCGACCGGTGCCGCCGCTCCCGTGTATACTCCACGTCGACGTCCTCGAAGGGCGCGTTCATGGTGAAGCAGGCGCAGGTCTCCTCGTCGTCGACGGCGCCGCCGCCGAGGCACGACCACTGCGAGCCCAGGGACGCGGGGCCGAGGAGCGCCATGCCTCGGGCTGCCCGCGCGGCCGGATTAGGATGCGGGGGTGAGTCGGGGCCGTCCACGGTCCACGGGATGTCGCCCTGACGGAGCGCGCTTGCGGTTGCACTCATCGAGAAGTTATCGTTGCCATTCAACATAGGGCTGTCGGTCGACCGCGCGCGGGGAGACCCTCGGCGGCGCGACGCAGCGCGTCGCGACGAGCAACGCCGCCGACAGCGACACACGATCGACGGCGACGCGCGGAGGCTCTCGCCTTCCGCGCCGCGTCGACCTCTAGCGTCGGCCGGATCCGCGGCCGGATGAGCGGGCCAGCGACCGACGCCGAGAAGACGCCCCACAACCAACTCTGGCGTCTGCTTGTTCTTTTTTACGCGGCGGCCGCTCAGAAGTCGTCGTCGTCGAGGGACAGCGCGGCGAAGGCGGGCGCGGCGGGCGCGGCGGGCGCGTTCGCCGGCGGCGCGGCGGCGGTGGCGTTCTCCTTGCCCGCGAGGGCCGTCTCGATGGTCTCGGCCGTGACCTTGAGCGCGGAGCCGGCGAAGGCCGTCTCGCCGGTCGCGTCCAGCACGACGAGGTACGGCACGGCCTTGAAGCCCCAGTGCGCCTTGGCGAGCTCCTTCGTCTCGGCGTCCATGCCCGCGTGGGCCATGCGCTCCCACTCGTGCTCCTCGACGATCTCCTTGGCGAACTCGGGGTCGTCGAGGCACACGGACGCGAACGCGACGTCGCCGCCGAACGCCTCGACGAATCCGTCGAGCTTCGTCAGGCACGCGGGGCACCGCTCGCAGCGCGTCGTCCCTGCGGCGCGGGCGGAGCGTGAGTTTTGTGCGCGCGCGGTCGCGCGCGCGGCGCGGTCGCGCGGCGGCGGCGGGACGCGGCGCGCGCGCAGAAGTCGACCACGAGCGCCTTGCCGTCGCGGAGCTTCTGCAGCGACGACGCGCTGTCGTCGGCGAAGAGCGTGATGGGCAGGTCGGGCGCAGCCATGTTTGAGGTGCTGCGGTCGGTTTTGTCACAGGCCGCACGCGCGGCAACGCAGTTTGGTTTGCTTAGAGCCCACCACGCAACGGATTGCCCTAGTTTCCTATCCTAGCGCCCCTCATCAAGCATGGTGCAAGATACATGCCTAAAAAGCTGGCAAACTCTCCGGCGGGCTGCGTTAGCTTCGCGCGGCGCATTCCGGTGTCTGAACGCGTCGTCGGCGGCCGCCGCCAACCCGCCGCGTCCGTGCCCGCTGATACACCGCGCCGCCGGTGACGACGCGACCCCAGCGAGAAGCACCGGCACCATGCCGGCGGCCCTCGCCCCGGGCGACGACCTGCTGTCCATCTCGGGCGCGTCCTTCGGCGCGACGCCCATGGGCCGGAGCGCGTCCATGCCCGGCATGCTCACGTCGAAGAACGTGAACCCGAGCATCTTGTGCGGGCCGTCGAAGACGATGATCACGACGACGACGCCGCCGCGGCAGGAGAAGCACGAGTTCTCCGCGTCGCTCGCGCATTTAGGCCAGGGCGGGCCCCGGGGCCAGAGCGCCGGCGCCGTCTTCCTGCCGGACGCGAACATGACCGCCGAGGAGGCGCTTCTACATTTGCGGCGCAAGATCTCCATGCAGATGACCGGCGGGTCGCACGGCCTGATGCGGTGCTGGGTGCTCTTCCGCACGCGCGCGGGCTCGTCCAAGGACGGCATCACCTTCCCCGAGTTCTGCCGGGGCCTGCGGTGCTACGGCCTGCCTCTCCCGGAGGCCATCTCGCGGGACCTGTTCAACCGCATGGACGCGAACGGCGACGGCACGATCCACATCAAGGAGTTCATCGACCACGTCATGGGCCGCTGGAGCCCCGTGGCGAACACGCACTACGGCTCCAAGACCGAGGAGGAGATCCAGGGCTCGGCTTATGTGTCGGGCAAGCAGAAGGCCAAGGCCATGGTCGTCGACGAGCCCGACGACGCGCTGACGTCCGCGGCCGCTTTAACGCAGCTCCGCCGCGCGATCGTCCAGCGCCTCAAGAGCGGGCCCAACGGCCTGCTCCGGTGCTGGATCGAGTTCCGCCAGCGCGCCGGGTCGACGAAGGACGGCATCACCTACCCCGAGTTCCTACGGGGACTGCGCGCGTACGGCATCCCGCTCCGCGCGGGTCTGGCGAAGACGCTCCACGGGCAGATGGACAGCAACGGCGACGGCCACATCCACATCACGGAGTTCGTGGACAAGGTCATGGGCCGCTGGGCGTCGGACACGAACACGCACTTCGGGGGCAAGAAGGAGGACGAGATCGCGGGCAGCGGCCTCGAGGGCAAGAAGCGCGCCGAGGCGATGGTCATCGAGAAGCTCGACGAGGACCTGACCATCGACCGGGCGTTATTGCTGCTCCGCAAGTCGATCACGCAGCGGCTCAAGTCCGGGCCCAACGGCCTCATGCGGTGCTGGATCGAGTTCCGGCTCCGCGCGGGGTCGACGAAGGAGGGCATCACGCTGCCCGAGTTCGCGCACGGGCTGCGCTGCTACGGCATCCCCCTCACGAAGGAGCGCACGAAGCAGTTCTTCGACCAGATGGACGTGACGAACGACGGCCACATCCACATCAAGGAGTTCATCGACGTCGTCATGGGCCGGTGGTCCGTTTCCGCGAACTCGGGAGGGTTGGAGGCGGAGCCGCGGAGCGACCCGCCGACGTCGCCGCTGACGGGCGGCGCCCACAAGCCCCTGCCCCACGAGGGCATGCGCCGCGCGCGGAACGCGGAGCTCCGCGATTTAGGCAAGACCATGGACCTCAGCGGCGACGCCGCGCTCCAGCTCCTCCGCGCGAAGATCGCGCAGCGCCTCGCGGGCGGCTCCCACGGCCTCCAGCGCGCCTGGAAGACGTTCCGCTACGCCGGCGGCGGCACGCACGCCGGCGTGTCCAAGGACGGCCTGCGGCGCGCGCTCAAGCACTTCGGGCTGCCGCTCGACGCGACGGTCTCCGACGAGCTCTTCGCGAAGATGAACATCGACGGCGACGACCTCATCCACGAGCCGGCCTTCATCTCCATCGTCATGGGCCGCGCGAACCTGCCGCCGTCGCCCAAGTTGAGGGGGGGGACGGTCTGCCTCCAGATGGGCGGCTACGGCGCGGAAAGGCCGACGACGGCGCCCGTCGACGTCGGCGCGCTCGCGCTGCAGGCCAAGCTCGAGGCCATGCGCGTGCCCGAGGAGCGCGCCTTCGCCGGCCCGCCGCCGGGCCTCGCGCCCGCCGCCGTGGCCCGGCCGAGCACCGTCGCTTCCCCTTCGCCCCTCCCCGTCGCGCCGCCTTCTTTCCGCGAGCCGCCGCCGGAGGTCGAGCCGCTGCTGAGCCTGCCCGTCGTCTCCCACAAACTCGGCGACGTGCCGGACCCGCTCCCCCTGCTCCAGGCGCCGCGGTCCGGTGCGAAGCTGCGGCCCCACACCGCGACCGCGCTCGCGCGCCTCAAGATGGGGCCCGTGCGGTCGCGGAAGGACCTCCGCGCCGCGCTCCGCCAGAGGCACGCGTCGAACCGCATCCGCCAGCAGCAGCAGGACGAGCTCAGCGCCGTCTCCAAGTTCTGCCTCTGAAGCACGAAAGGGCGCCGCCGACCCGCGCGCCCTAACACACTCGCTCGCGCCCCTTACGACAGCAGCGCGACCGCCAGGACGCTCGCGGCCGCGGCGGCGAGGGTCCTCGCGCCGAAGGCGCCCGCGGCGCCGCTGCAGCCGCCCTGCTTGTTGCAGCAGATGAACTCGCTCGACGCGCGCTGGGACATCTCCACCGTCGCGATGTCGTCGCCCTCGTTGTTCTTCGTCAGGTCGATCGTCCCCTTGCCGCAGCCGTTGTTGTTCTCCATGTACTTGGGCGTGCCGAACATGCCGCCGCAGGCGTTGACGTAGAAGACGCGGTAGAACTGCTGCTCGTCCCACGTCGACCCGGCGACGAGCAGCTCCATGTCGGACGAGCTCGACGTCTCGAGGTACATGCAGTAGTAGCAGACCCGCGTCCACTCCTTCTTGATGTAGAGCCGGATGTTGTCCTCGTTCTCCTGGCCCCAGCCGACGGCGCACTCCATGCGGCCCCGGGGCAGCAGCATGCGCCGGACGTCGTCCCAGTAGTGCGTCTCGTTGCTCTCCTCCTCGGCCCAGCTGCGCAGGCCGCCGAGGAGCTGGGGCGACGCCGGGACGGCGACCAGCGCGCAGAGCAGCGCGCGCAGCGCCATCATTTAATTTTTGTGTGTTTGTTCGCGGCTTCGCGCGCGACGGTACGAGCCGACGGATCGAGCGCTAGGGCTGCCCCATGCCTTTTTACGTTGCCGCGGCGCAAGGTAAACATGGCTACTTGCAGCTATATAGCAGCTAAAGCAAATGGGCCACCTCGAAGAGCGCGCCGTAGCGCGTGAGAGCTGCGCGTAACATTCTGCGCCGCCAGCGCCGCGCCGCGCCGCCAGCGGCGCGCGCGCGCATGCGCTGATCCATGTCGCGGCACACGGGCGCCTTCGTCTACACCGGGAGCGGCAAGAAGCAGAAGGAGGGCGCGCCGGTGGAGCAGACGGCCTGCAAGAAGGAGGCCTGCAACATCCAGTGGTGCCTGGCGAAGCGCAATCACCAGGAAAAGTACTGCATGGCCTACATCGACGCCTGGAAGGAGTGCTGCGCGAAGGCGAAGGCGAAGGAGGCGGCGCAGATCGCCGCCGCCGCGGAGAACGCGGCGGCGACGCCGGGCGGCCCGTCCTGACGCAGCGGCGCGGTGGCATGGCCGGCCGCGCTCCTCTTTCTCTCTCTCTCTTGTCGCTGCGCAGCACTGCACGTTCGCGCCGCCGCCGCGCGCGGGTCGCGCTAAGCCGACGCGTTAGCTTCCTAGAGTCCGACGCCCGCGAGGTACGCGTCGAGGCTCGCCTGGGCCTTCTCCATGCCGGCCTTGGCGTCGGCCTTCTTCTTCTTCTTGAGCGCCGCGGCGACGGCGTCGGCGTCGGCCTTGAAGGCCTTGAAGAGCTTGACCTGCGGGATCTTGTCCGGGTTCTGCGTGCTGTTGATGCGGAACGCGTTGGCGAGGAGGAAGCCGGCGGCTTCGAGGTCTGCGAGAGGCCCGTCCTCGGCGAAGAGCGCCGGCGTCGCGTCGTCGCCCGCGGCCTTGAACGCCTTCGCGCCGGCGACGACCCGCGCGTTGTAGCGCTCCTTGGCGCGCAGAAGGTAGGCGCCCCCCGCCGTCGCGCCGCCGGACGCGTCGACGACCGCGACGTCCGCGAAGGCCGAGACGGCCGCGGCGAGCGCGCCGCCCGTCAGCGCGTTGCGCCGCGACACGCGCGGCGCCGAGACTTGCCGCAGGGCCTCGGCAGCGGCCTCGGCGCTCGACGCGCTCGCCGACGCGTCGCTCGCCAGCGCGCGCCGCAGCGCTGCGGCCGCCGCGTCGCTGCTCGACGTGAAGGCATGGCTCGACGCCAGCAAAAGCATGGCCGCGGTGAGCTTCATCGTTCAGAAGCAGCTCTTCAAGCTCGTGATGCAGCGGCTGAATCGATGGCCGCTGGCAGACGACCTCGTCGGACGTCGTCCGTCCCGACGCCCGACGCGTCGTCGACGCGCGACCGCCCCCCCCCAAGCCAGCCACCCACGTTTAAGGCGAGCTTCACGCGAGCGTGAGCTCGATGGGCCGCGCGGGGTGCGCGACGACGGCCGCGCGGATGGACGCGTCCGTAGTCACCGCGGCCGCCCCGACCTTGACGACGCGGTCCCCGGCCCGGACGCCCTTCTGCTGCGCCTCGCCGCCCGGCTGGACGCCCTTGACGACGCCCGAGGGCTCGAAGGCGATGCCCAGCGTCGGGCCCGCGAAGACGACGCGGCGCGGCGCCCGCGCGGGCTCGAAGGTCAGCGCGACGGGCCGCTGCGGGTGCGCCGCGACGGCCGCGCGGATCGCCTGGTCGTCGCCCACGGCCGCCGCGCCGACGGCGACGATGCGGTCGCCGACGGCGACGCCTTTTCGCTCCGCCTCGCCGCCGGGCTTGCAGCCCTTGACGACGCCGGAGGCGTCGAAGCCGACGCCGAGGCTCGCGCCGTCGAAGGAGATCCGCTTGCCCCCGGGTGCTGCCGGGGCCGGCCGGGGCGCGGGCGCCGGCCGGGGCGCCGGGGCCGGCCGGGGCGCGGGCCGGGGCGCCGGGGCCGGCCCCGGCGCCGGCGCCGCCGCCTTCGGGGGCCGGAAGACGAGGCGGAGGGGCCGCTCCGGGTGCGCCATGACGGCCTCGCGGACCTCCGCGTCCGAGCTCGTCCGCTCGTTGCCCACGCGGACGACGCGCCAGCCGGGCTTGACGCGGCCCTCGGCCTCGCCGCCCGGCGCGCAGCCCTTGACCGTGCCGTCGCCGTGGAACGCGATGCCGAGCGTCTTGCCGTTGAAGTCGACGGACACGTCGCGGTCGCCCTCGGGGTTCAGCGTCGACGGCCGCCGCGGCGCGCGCGCCGGCGGCGGCGGCGCGGCGCGCCCCTCGAGCCGCGCGAGCGCCGCGGCGCGGCTCGACGAGCCGCGCCGCGCCGGCTCGAAGGACGCGCGGCGCGCCTTGCCCCGCTCCGCGGCCGCGAGCGGCTCCTCCGCCTCGTCCTCGCCCGGCGACCGGCGGATGCGGTCCATCTCCGCGCGTTTGCCGAACCGGTCGCGCACCAACTGGAGCGCGACGAGGCCGACGGAAATGAAGCCGCACAGGAGGATCAGATTCACGCCGTCGACGGCGGCGTTGTACGCGGCCTTGTCCGCGTGGCCGCTGTCGATCGTCAGCGTGTAGGGCAGCGGGCAGTCGTCGGACTTCTTTGGCCGCGCCGCGGGCGCGGCGCAGGCGCCCGCGGCGGCGACGGCCGCGTAGGAGGGCGCCGGGGCCACGGCGCCGTCGCAGGTCATGTAGTGCTGGTGGAGCAGGGCGAAGGCGTCCGCGCACTGCGACGGGCACGTCGAACCGCAGTAGCGGTCGATGTTTTTGACCTGCTTCTCGCGCGCGCCGTCGCCGTCGCGGCCGCAGCTGATGGCCTTTTCCGATTCGTGGCAGTGGCAGGCGCCGGCGGGCGCCCAGAGCGCGACGTCCCGCGCCTCCGCGGGCGCGGCGAAGTCCGAGTCGAGCTTCAAAGCGTAGCCGGCGTCGACGCAGCTCCCGTCCTCCACGGCCCCCAGGCTCGCGCGTTCGCCGTTGGCGACGCAGGCCTCGGCGCACTGGCCGACGCCGGCGCCGAGCAAAGCGCCGTCGAGGCCCAGGGCGCGCACGCGCTCGCGCCCGGAGCCGCACGACGGCGACGCCGCCGCGGCGACCTCGCCGCCGCCGTGGCGGTGGCACGTCGGGACGCCCTGCGCCACGCTCACGGCGAGCTTCAGCCCCATCTTGCAGTGGAGCTCCTGGGCGCACGCAAAGTAGGTGATGCCCGGCTCCTCCATTTGTACGACGCGGCCGTCGCGGACGTCGGCCGCGGGCGCGACCTCGCGCGACGGCGAGAAGTCGCAGTGGTCCAGGGCCGCGGCGCTCGCGAGGGCCCACAGGTCGTGCTTCTGCCACGAGCCCTCGAGGCTCGGCGCGAAGTTGACGGCGTCGCCGACGAAGACGCGCAGGCTCGTGACCGCCTGGCCGCCCACGAGCGTCGGCTTCGGTGGCGCCCAGACGACGTCGTAGGTGCAGCCCCCGGCCCTGGAGCGCGCCCGGCAGGCGCCGGCGGCGTCGCAGTCGAGCTCGCAGGTCCCGAGGCCCAGCGCGGGCAGCGCCAGCGCCACGGCCGACGGCAGCCTCATGCTTCTCCCGGGCAATTTTCACGCCGGGCAGCTTCATCGGCCACGGGGGCAGCATCAACCGTCGCGAATTGGAGCGTCGGCATCTTACCTCAAGCTTTGCTGCGGCAGCATGAACCGTCGCGACTACGCCTTTGGCCACTAGGAATTCCTACCTCAAGCTTTGCTGCGGCAGGCGCGAAAGCCAAAGCCCAGAGCCGAGTGACGACCTTGCCGGTACATTGTCGGCGGCTCCCGCGGCCGCCGCCCGCCCGCGGGCCTCCATGGCCTCGACGTCGTCGAGCTCGCAGCGGCGGCGGGACGGGGGCGACGAGAAGGATGGCGACGAGCGCAAGGGCGAGGTGGACCGCTACGGCGCCGACAGCCCCGGGGGCGCCGAGCCCATGTCCGCGGAGACCCCGGCGCGGCCGCGGCAGGCGCGCCCGCGGCGTCCGTGTACGTCGCGCGCCGCGTCGCGCGCGCCGAGGCCCGGCGCCGCGCGCGCGCGGCGCCGCCGCCGCCGCGGAAGCGGCGGAAGCGGCGCCCCCTGGGGCCCTTCCGGGGCGTGGGCCCGCCCCCCGCCCGGGCGGGAGCCCACTTTCCCCGCACGCGCGGACCGTGACGTCGACGTCGACGTCCGGTACAACGTCTTGGACGTCGTGGGCCAGGGCGCCTACGGCGTCGTCTGCGCGGCCCACGACGAGGTCGCGGGCGAGGCCGTCGCGATCAAGAAGATCAGCAACGCCTTCGAGCACGCGACGTACACGAAGCGGACGCTCCGCGAGATCCGGCTGCTCCGGCTGCTCCAGCACGACAACGTCATCCGGTTGCGGACGCTGCTGCCGCCCGTCAAGTCCGACGGCTTCAAGGACCTCTACATCATCAGCGACCTGATGGAGACGGACCTGTCGTCGGTCATCAAGTCGCCGCAGCCGTTGAGCGACGACCACGTGCAGTTCTTCATCTACCAGGTGCTTCGGGGCGTGAAATTCCTGCACTCGTCCGTGCCGCCCGTGACGCACCGCGACCTCAAGCCGCGCAATTTACTAGTCAACTCCAACTGCGACCTGAAGATCTGCGACTTTGGGCTGGCGCGCGTCGACTTCGACGAGCAGTCGGCGGGTCGGGTCAAGGCGATGACGGACTACGTGGCGACGCGGTGGTACCGCGCGCCGGAGATCATCACGGGCTGGGTCGAGTATACGAAGGCCGTGGACATGTGGGCCGTGGGCTGCATCTTAGCGGAACTGCTGGGGCGCAAGCCGCTCTGGCCGGGGTCCGACAGCCAGCACCAGCTCGAGCTCATCTGCCAGTGCGTGGGCAAGCCGGGCCCGGAGACCATCGACCGCATCCAGACGCCGGAGATCCGCGACTTCGTGCTGTCCATCCCGAACAACCGGCCCGTGGCCTTCCACGACCTCTACCCGGACGCGAACCCGCGCGCGTGCGACCTATTGCGGGAGCTGCTCATTTTCGAGCCGGAGCGGCGCTGCGACGTCGAGGCGGCGCTGGCCCACCCCTACCTGGCCCAGCTCCATTTTCCCGACGACGAGCCCCGCGGGCCGGAGATCCCGCTGGACGCGTTCCAGTTCGAGATGCGGGACCTCGACGCGGACGAGCTCAAGCGCGAGATCCTCCGCGAGATCTGGTTCTACCACTGGGACGCGCGCAACTCGTCGGCGAGCCGGTCCTCGGACGACGACGTCATGTTCGCCGTGCGGTCTTCCCGCGTCGCATTCGTGCTCTTGTTCTCCTTCGACGGTTTTTCTTTTAGGCGCTCACGGAGACGTACGCGGCGGGGTCCGAGGCCAAGCCGCACGAGCCGTCGTCCAAGGGCAAGCAATAGCCGTTTGGTCGCTGTGACATCGAAACCGCGCGCAGCTCGCGGCTGTACTTTTCGAAAATCTGTTCACCTCTTCCCCCGAAACGCCAAGGAACGCGTCGGCCGAGTCCGGCTCAATTCGGATACCGCGCGCGCGCTCACGAGTAGCGCGCCGCCGGGAGAGGCCGCCCCCATCGCGCGCCCTCCCCGGCCACTATAAATCCTCGTTTTGTCTCATTTACCGGGCTTGGCGAGGAGCTTCTTGTCCCACGCCGACCGGTCGACGCCGCGCGTCGAGAGGAGCCGCGACGCGCGGTCCGCCGATGTGCCGCCGCACTTGAGGCCCAGGGCCAGGAGCGCGGCCTTGAGCCGGTCGAGGCCCAGGGCCTCGAGGCTCGCCTGCGTGTGGTCGCCGAGGTCGAGGGCCGCGGGCGCGACGGCCGCGCGCTTGACGTACGCGGGCTTTGGCGCCGCCTCGGGCTCCGGCGCCGGGGCCGGCGCGGCCTCCGGCGCGGGCGGCGCCGGCGGCGCGGCGGCCGCCGGCGCTTCGGGCGCCGCCTCGGCGGCCGCCGGCGCTTCGGGCGCCGCCGCCGGCGCTTCGGGCGCCGCGTCGGCGGCCGCCGGCGCTTCGGGCGCCGCGTCGGCGGCCGCCGGCGCTTCGGGCGCCGCGTCGGCCGGCCGCCCGAGGGCCGCGTGGCCCGGCGGCGGCGGGAAGCGGAAGTCGGCGGCGTCGATGGCGACGCGCACGGCCTCGTTGTCCTCCAGGCTCAGCGCCGCGAAGAAGCCGCCGGCGTCTCCCGTTGACCGAGAAGGACAGCGAGCCGCCGTCCGCGTCGAGCGCGCAGCCCACGACGTCGCCCCGGGCCCAGGGCTCGCCGGAGCCGTAGGCCTCGTCGGCGCCGGCCGTCCACTTGCGGCCCCGGCAGCCGTCGAAGGCCCACGACCTGGCGTCGTCGCCGACGCCGTCGCCCTCGGCGTCGTCGTGCTCGAAGCCGCCGGCGCACCAGCCGACCTGGACGACGCCGCCCGTGAGGATCGTCGCCTCGTAGTACCACTTGCCCGCCGCGACGGGCGCCACGGACGCGACGGCGACGGTCGCGAACTCGGAGCGGCCGTGGGCGACGCCGCCGTCGCGAAGCTCGGCTTCGCCCGCGACGGTGTCGAGGCACGTGGTCACGAGGCTCGCGGAGCCCGCGTTCGCCGGCCGGAACGCGGACGCCTTCGCCGCGTCGTCCTTGCGCTTCTGCTTCTTCGAGCGGTCCGCGGCGAGCAGCCCCGCGGCGACGGACGACGCCATGGCCTCGGAGCCGACGTACTCCAATTCCGCGCCCTTGTCGTCGCGGCGCCGCCGCGCCTCCTTGTCCCGCGCGTCGCGCTTCTTCGCCAGAGCTTCCTCGACGTACCGGGGCTGGCGGATGTGCTTGTCGACGCGCTTCTCGCGCGTGCCGCGCTTGCCCTTTGTCGACGCGAAGCCGACGCGCTCCGCCTTGTACGCGTTCCACGCGTTTCTACCGTGCGGTCGGAGCGCCGCGGAGATCTTCAGCGTGTCGCCGACCCGGAGCTTCGGCGTGGCGCCGCAGCCGCTCCAGTCGTCGTCGGCGTTGCAGTTGGCCGACGCGGGCACGTAGCAGTCGCCGCCCGCGATGCAGAAGCCCAGGTGCACGCTGTCGACCATCGTCACGTCCGCCTCGAAGTCCTTCGTCGTGCAGCCCGAGGCTAAGACGTCCTGCTCCTCGTCGGCCCAGCTGCGGTTCCGCGCGTCCTTGCGCACCTCGCTCTTGGGCTTGCGCGCCTTGGGCAGCTCCGCCCACGCGGGCACGGCCAGATGCCAGCCGCGGATGCCGTGCGATCCGGCGACGGGCGCCTCGTCCTCCTCGACGGCGGCCCCGCCGGACCGCTTCCGCGCCTCGTTGCGCGCCCGCGCCTCGTGCCAGCGCTCGAGGGCGATCTCGTCGTTGACGTGGCGCAGCCGCCGGCCGGAGAGGTCGCGGCACGCGCCGAAATCGCGCGTCGCCGTGCCGCCGCCGGCCTTGCCCATGGACCGCAGCATGGCGCCGAAGCCGCCCTTGCCGCCGCGCAGGCCGCACCCGGCGACGACGACGCGCGCGAGCTCGCCGGCGTCGGGCCGGTCCCGCGGCGCGTAGCGCCGGCGGCCGAACCAGAGCTCGAGGCGCGGCGCGCCGTCTTTGTTCGTCATCGCGGCGGGGGCGACGGATTTCAGGACCGCCGCCGCCGTCATGGCCCGGCCCCCGGGAACGGTGACCGTGCCCCGGCCGGGGACGTCGACGAGGAGGTCCGCCGAGGGCGTCATGGGCTCGAGAAGGAGTGCCATCGAAGCGGCGGCTCCTCGAGAGCCCCTCGTCACCGACGGCGTCGTCTTCGGGCTGCCGCGCCGGGTCGGAGGCGCCGCTCCAGCACCCGCGCCAACCCCATTCGACGCTCCCGACGTGCGCAAGACGACGCGCCGCGAGACCGCGTCGCCGCCGCGCACCATGGCCGCGCCGATGCCCAGCAAGGAGCACGAGGTCGTGGGCTTGCTCCCGGCGCTCGCGACGGCGAGCGAGTCGATGAAGCACGCGGGCATGAGCTGGCAGCGCGGCGCCATGACGATGATGGCGGAGATCGTCGGCACGGGCGTGCTGGGCCTCGCGTACGCGGGCGCGCGCGTCGGCTGGGCGCTCGCGCTCGCGTTCCTGTGCTTCTTCGGGCTCTGCAGCCTGTTTTCCAGCCTCCTGTTGGCGGCGGTGCGCAAGGAGCACGGCGACGTCGACTCCTACATGAAGGCCGCGGGCAAGTTCTGCGGCCCGAGGGCGGAGCGGTGGACGGCGCGCGTGATCAACTGGAACTGGCTGCTCGTGCTCCCCTACTTTTTGATGGCGTCGGCGCACGCGCTGAGCGTGGCCTTCTGGTGGAAGGATGGCGTCTGCTACTACGAGTGGGCGCTGCTCTCCGTCGCGTGCGTCGCGCTGCCCGCGCAGATCCGGAGTTTGGAGGCGCTGTCGACGCTGACGGCCGCGTCCGTGGGCGCCATCGGCGTCGTTCTCGTGTTGACGGCGGCGTCGCTGATCCTCGAGGGCCGCGAGGTCGACGGCGAGCCGAGCGTCTGGCTGCCGCCGCCGGACATGTCGGTCTGGGACTGCTTCGACAGCGTGTCGATGATGACGTTCGCGTACCAGGGCCAGAGCATGCTGCTGGAGATCGCCGACGAGATGGAGGACCCGCGCGACTTTGGCAAGGCGGTCAAGGTGTCCTGCGGGTCCCTGGTGGGGCTGTACGCCTGCGCGCTGGCCGTCGGCTACTACTACCGCGGCGCCGCGGTGCCGTCGTTCCTGCCGGACGCGCTCGACGACTCGCCGCTGAAGACGCTCGTGGGCGTGCTGCTCTATTTCCACATCGTCGTCACCTACCTCGTGAACAACCAGCCGCTGACGAAGAAGGTCTGCGACGCGCTGTGGCCGCGGAAGGGCGACGAGGCGGCCGAGGTGTCCGCGCGGCAGTGGGCGGGCGTCACGGGCGCCTTTTTGGCCTGGAGCTACCTCATCGCGAACCTCATCCCCTGGTTCTCGGATTTCCAGAACGTCATGGGCTCCATGCTCGGCGCGCCCGTCATGTTCGGGTTTCCGGTCGCGTTCTACGTGCTCGACCCGAAGCAGTCGTCGTGGAAGGGCTCCAAGGCGACGCAGGCGGCGCTCCTGCTCGTGGGCGGCGTCGTGTTGCCGCTGACCTGGGTCATCGGCACCGTCGCGGCCTTCGTGGGCCTCGCGTCGGACTGGTCCTCGTCCGGCGGCGTCTTCGCGTGCCAGCCGTCGGGCTACGCTTAGATGATGTCGATGCGCGTCACGGGGAGGGACCGCGCGGCGCGCGTCGGCGACAGGTCCAGGTCGCCGTAGTCCGGCCGCGTCGGCGCGATGTCGAGGAGCGCCGGCAGCGGCGGCTCGGGCGACAGGCTCCGCGCGCCGCGGCGGCGGTCCACGAGGGTCCGGAGCTCGACCTCGAGGGCCTTCTGGCGCGTCACGCGGCGCCGCTCGAGGCGGCCGCCGACGTGGAGCCCGCCGAGCGCCGCGAGGACGACGGCCGCGGCCGCGGCGTACCAGCGAACGTTCGGGGGCGCGCCCGCGGCCGCGTCGCGCCGCGGCGGCCGCTTCGCGAGGTCCGGCAGCGGCGCGACGCCCCGGGGCCAGGCCGGGCAGCGCGACGCCTCGTCCTCGACGCACTTGGCCCGCGGCGCCTGCTCGTACGCGTGCAGCGGCGCGCCGGTCTCGTCGTAGAACGTCGTCGCCATCGCGTCCGTCGACACGACGTGGCCCGTGAAGCCGAGGGACGTCGTCGCCAGCGCCACGTCGACGCCCTCGTCGACGGCGCCCAGCAGGTAGGCGTCGTCGAGGCGGCCGCCGCCCGCGGCCGCGTTGCCGTTGACGACGTGGTGCAGGGGGCCGTCGACGACGTGCTCCAGCGCCCGGTCGTGGCCCGCGACGTAGGCGTCGACGCCCCGCGCGAGGAAGAGGGGCCGGAGCAGCGCGAGGAGCGCGCGGGACCCGCCGGAGTCGGACACGGACCGCATCGGCCAGTGGCCCGCGACGATCAGCCACCGCGCGGTGTCCCCGGCCGATCGTAGGGCGTCGTCGAGAGCGACCATGGCCGCGGCGACGTCCGACGCGTTATAGAGATCCGCCGTCGTCGCGTGGAAGGCCGGCGCGAACATGGCCGTGTCCAGAAAGACGAACGCGATCTCCGCGTGGTCCGCGAGGTGCCGTTTGATGACGTAGCAGGGCCGGCTCGGCAGGCGCCACTCGTCGTCGGACGCGTCCCACTCCCGGGCCGTCTGCGCCGCCGCGCCGCCCGCGCCGCGGGCGTAGTCGCGCTCGCCGAGCACCGCGTACCACGGCACGCCCTTCAGGCTCGAAGTCTCGGTCTCGTTGATCCACGGCCGCCGCCAGGACGCGTCCCACTGCGGGTCGCTCGCGTTGGCGACGCCGGCGTCCAGGAAGTTGTCCCCGAGGGCGATGACCAGCCCGACGTCCGCTTCGGACGCGTAGCGGTCGACGCTCGACGCCACGGCCTCCATGCTGGGCCGCCGGCCGTCGCCGCGGCGCACGCCCCAGTCGCCGACGGTCACGAAGCGCAGCGTGCGCTTCTCCCGCGCCGCGCCGCCGTCGACGACGGCGACGACGGTCGCGAGGCGGAAGAAGAGCGCGGGCGTGAGCCCCATATTTTTCCCCGACGCTGCCCCGACAACTGCCTCGAACTTGCAGTCGCTTGAACTTTTACAGCTGTAGTTGCCACATATTTTTCCCCGACGCTGCCCCGACAACTGCCTCGAACTTGCAGTCGCTTGAACTTTTACAGCTGTAGTTGCCAGAGCAGTCCAGAGCCATCTCGACCGCCCACATCGACGTCGTCGTCGAGAGAGCAATGCTGCGCAACTCGCTGCGCCCGCTCGCGCGTCTGGCGCGGCCCGGCGGCCGCGCCTTCGCAGCCGTCGGCGACGCCATTCCCGACGTCAGCCTGGACGTCGAGTTCCCGCCGAAAGAGGTGTCGCTGAAGCAGCGCCTCGCCGGCCGCAAGGTCATCCTCGTCGGCCTGCCGGGCGCGTTCACGCCCACCTGATCCGAGACGCAGGTCCCCGGGTACCTCGGCGCGGCCGACGCGCTCAAGGCCAAGGGGATCGACGAGGTCATCATCTTCTGCGTCAACGACAGCGCCGTGATGAAATTCTGGGCAGTAGACCAGGGCGTCGAGGACAACGACAAGTGCTACTCGATGCGCTACGTGAACCGGTCGGAGCAGAAAGTCTCCTTCATGGCCGACACGTCCGGCGCGCTGACGCGCGCGCTGGACCTCGAGCTCACGCACGAGAACCCCGTGCGCGATCTCGGGCCGGGCCGCTGCAAGCGCTTCGCGGCCTACTACGACGACGGCGTGCTCAAGGCCCTCGAGGTCTCCGAGGCGCCGGGCGACCCGGCCGGCGACGACGACCCGCACGCGTCCTGCGTCGACAACATGCTCGCGCACGTCTAGCGGTTTCGCCGCGACCTCGCGCGCCCCGCGGGCGTCCATGACGTCTCCCGCGCTCCTGATGCAGGAGCCCGGGAGACCGAGACAACTCGCTCGCGCGGAACTTGCGTAAGGACGGCGATAGAACTGGGACGCGGTGCTTCAACGACTGCACCGTTGGCTTGGTTGCATGCAAACCTGCGTGGCCGCCGAGCCGAAGCCGCCGCGCTCTCCTCGTCACGCGCGTGGCGCTCTCCGAGCGCATCGAAACGCATCGAACCACCATGTCGCGCCTGCTGCGCGAGCTCGCAGATCACCTCACGTCGGGCGTCGCCGATAGCGCCCCGTCTGTGGCGACGTCGGGCCGGCAGCGCCGGGCTGCTCCTGCTCCGGCGCCGGCGCCGCGGCAGCGCGCGTCGCGGGCCGCGGCGCCTGCTCCTGCTCCTGCCCCGGCGCCGCGGCAGCGCGCGTCGCGCTCAACGGCTCCTGCTCCGGCGCCGCGGCAGCGCGCGTCGCGCACCGCGGCTCCGGCGCCGGCGGCTCCGGCGCCGGCGCCGCGGCAGCGCCCGCAGAAGCGCCGGGCGCCCGCGACGCCGCGGCGGACGGCCCCGCGCGAGGCGTCGACGGAGCCGAAGCGGCGGAAGCGCCCCGCGCCGCCGCAAGAGGAGGAAGAGGACGACGAGGAAGAAGAAGAAGAAGAGGACGACGACGAGGAAGAAGTAGCGGCGGAAGAGACTGACCGGGAACCGCGGCCGACGCTCGTCGGCGACGACGGCCTGCCCTACCCGCTCCTCCGCGACGCCGACAACGCGCTCGACGCGTCGCGGCTCCGGCCCGACGAGGCGTGGCCGGCGCCCGCGCGGCCCCCGCGGCCGCCGACGGGCGCGGCCCTGGGCGTCCTGGAGCTCCGGGCCGCGTGGAACGTGCCGCGGTCCGCCGCGCCGCGGCGCCTGACCGCGCGGATCGGCGTCGACGGCTGGGAGCGCACCTACTATTCCGCGGACGGCTGGACGCGCGCGCGCTACGTCATGCTCGGCGACGCGTCGTGGGGCGACAAGAACTACTACTTGGACGACGACGGGCGCTACCACGACTTTAAGAGCGAGGCGGTCTGCACGGCCGGCCCCGCGCAGGGCGACGCCGCGACCTTCTGGGCGTTGTTCCAGCTCGAGGACTGCCTCGCGCACGGTCTGGTCGAGATCGACGCCGTCGGCGTCGACGACCGGCGCCGCGTGCGCCTCGAGCTGTCGGCGACGGCCAAGGCCTTCGCGCTCGACGCGAAGCTCGAGCTCGAGCCCGGGCAGCGCGGCTTCAAGCCCGCCTGGCGCACGGTGGAGAACCGCGACGACGCGCGCGCGGGCGACGTCGCGGGCCAGGGCCAGCAGTCCGGCTGGCGGTCCTTCAACCGCCTCCTGCGGTCCTTGTGCGTCGCCGAGGGCGGCCGCGCGGAGAACGACGCGGGCACGCTGGCCGTCGAGGCCGGGCCCGCGCTCGGCGAGGACGCGTGCGACGCGACGCTCAACGGCTTCCTGGGCGTGCCGCGCCAATCGTCCGCGGCGCTCGAGGCGGGCCTCGGCTCGTCCTTCGCGCTCGGCGACGTGCTCGACGCCGTCGCGATCGACGACGACGGGTCGCCCTGCGAGCACGGCGCGTCCGTCGACGCCAAGGGCAAGCTGCGGTCGCTGCTCCACCCGTTCCAGGACCGCGGCGTCGGCTGGATGGTGCGCCGCGAGACGCGGCCCGACGCGCTCACGCTCCACCCGTCGTGGACGCAGCTCCGGTCGGGGCGCGACGTCTGGTACGCGCACCGCTTCGCCGGCGCGTGCTCGGGCACCTTCTTCCCGGCGCCGCTGGCGGCGACGTGCGGGGGGTGTTTGTGCGACGACGTCGGCCTCGGCAAGTCGATCCAGTTGATCGGGCTCGTCCTCTCGAACCCCGCGCCGCCGGGCTGGGCCGCGGACGCGCTGCCCGCGACGACGACGGAGCCCGTCGCCGTCAAGAGCACGCTCCTCGTCTGCCCGGCGGCGCTCCTGCCGCAGTGGGAGCAGGAGCTCGCGACGCACGTCAAAGAGGGCGCGCTGACGGTGACCACGTACCTCGGCCTCGGCAACAAGAAGATGCGCCTCGCGGCGGCGCCGGAGCCCGAGGAGGACGACGAGGGCCCGCGGCGCCGGCGCCGCCGCGGCGAGGCCGCCGCGGCCGCCGCGCCCGCGGACGCGGGCGTCGAGGTGCTCGCGCGGAAGCGCCACCTCTTCGGCGACGGCGACGGCGCCGCGCCGGACCTCGCGGCCTGCGACGTCGTGCTTTGCTCCTTCGAGACGCTCCGCGACGAGCTCCGCAAGTGCCACTTCGACGAGGACGACGGCCTGCCGCTGTCGACGCCGCTGGGCGCCGTGGGCTTCTGGCGCGTCGTCCTCGACGAGGCGCAGCTCGTCTGCCAGACGACGTCGAAGGCAGCGTCCTGTGGCGGTGACGATTTTCGAGAGATTTTGACCGGGAAAACGAAGAGAAATCGTTACCGACATGCTTGGTAGGTCGAAGGCCGCTTTGATGTGCTCGGCGATCCTGCGGCGCCACGCGTGGGTCGTCACGGGCACGCCCATCAACCGGTCGCCGGACGAGCTCCACGGCCTGCTGGCGTTCCTGGGCGTCGCGCCGCTCAGCGACAAGCACGTCTTCGACCAGTTGTACCTCGAGCCCTACAAGCGGCGCCAGGCCGGGAGCCGCGGCCGCCTCGTGGGCCTGCTCAAGGGCCTGATGCTGCGCCGCGGCAAGGACAAGCCCGGCGTCGCGGCCCAGGTGAAGCTGCCGCCGCTGGTCTGGGAGACGGAGACGCTGGCGCCGTCGCCCGCGGAGCGCGGCGCCTACAGGGTCGCGCGCGACGCCTTGGTCAGATCGCACGCGGCCTTCTCGCGGACGGTGCACGGCGCGGCGAACGCGGGGCGGCTCCTGGGGCAGCTCAACGGCGACCTGACGCGGCTCCGCCAGACCGTGTGCCACCCGTCCGTCGTCAACGTGAAGCGCGACGGGGCCAAGGCCTCGGGCGTCGTCGACGAGAACGGCGAGGCGCTGGCCATGTCCGACGTGCTCCGGCGCCTCGCGTTGAAGGCGGAGAAGGACGCGACGCGCGCGGCCGTCGCGTACCTCGAGGCGCGGGCGCTGCACGCGGACCGCGCGGGCGGCGAGTCCGTGGACGAGATCCTCGACGACGTCGCCGCGAAGCGCAAGGACCTGGAGGCCGTGGAAGAGGACTTCTCGCGCTGGGACGCGCTCGTCAAGGATCTGGAAGTCCTGCGCGACACGCCGCCGAAGCGACTGACGAAGAAGTCCTTCACGTCCAAAGCGTTGGCGAAGGTCCTGGACAAGGTCGACGCCGGCGTCCTGCGCCGCGTCGCCGACCAGGCGCGGACCGCCTGGCGCGACAAGCAGGCGTCGCGGAACTACCTCGTCCGCGAGCTCGCGAACGCCGCGGCGGCGAAGGACGGCGCGGAGGTCGAGGCCTCGGAGCCCCAGTGCCCCGTCTGCCTCGAGGACCGGTCTCCCGAGACGGCGTGGTGCGTGTCGCCCTGCGGCCACGGCGGCTGCCACGAGTGCTGCGCGGCCTGGGTCGCGCGCGAGGGCTCCTGCGCGATCTGCAAGCGGCCCATGACCGTCGAGCTCCTCTACCCCTGCGTCGAGAAGAAGCCCGAGGACGCGCCGCCGCCGCTGTCCTCCGACGCGGCCGAGGCCGCCGCCGCGGGCGAGTGGGGCAGCAAGCTGTCGCGGCTGTTGGGCATCTGCGGCGCGCGGGCCCGCCGCGGCGACAAGGTCGTCGTCTTCTCCGCGTGGACGCGGCTGCTGAACCTCGCGGGGAGCGCGCTCGAGGCCCACGACCTGCCCGTCGCGTCGCTCGTCGGGTCGCCGGAGAAGAAGCGCGAGGCGCTCGCGGCCTTCGCCAAGCCCGCGAAGAAGGGCGGCGCGGCCGTGCTCCTCGTGCCGCTCTTCGGCGGCGCGTCCGGCGCGGGCGGCGGCGGCGCCGCGGGGCTCACGCTCACGCACGCGAACACGGCCGTCATCCTCGAGCCGTCGCTCACGCCGGGCATCGAGGCCCAGGCGGCCGGGCGCATCTCGCGCATCGGCCAGACCAAGGCCGCCAAGGTCATCCGGCTCATCGTCGCGGACACGGTCGAGGAGAAGATCCTCGAGTGGCAGGCGCGCCGCATGGACTCGGGCACGAACAAGTCGGCGCAGCTGTCCCTCAACGACTTCGTCCAGCTGGGGCTGTCCGCCTGAGTGGCCTTGTGTCTGGGCTCCCTTGACCTCCCTGTGTATGAGCTCTCCCGCCCCCCGCGGCGAGAGCCCTCTCTGTAAGTACGTCCTAGCATATCCCGCCGGCGGGATAAACGCATCTTCAACATTGGATTCATCAAACATTGCAGTCCTACTGGGCCGATGAGGGCTGCCCCGCGCGCACCAAAGGCCGCGGCACCGCGCCGAGGCTGCGGCAGCCGCAACCGGGAGCCGAGGCCCGCCACCCGGGGCGCGCGCAGCCCAGACGCCGAGCCATAACATCGGAAAAGCTGCAAGTGTGCGCCAAATTGCTTTTTGTAGTGAGAGCTTGGTAGCGCTTCAGAAGGAAGACGCTCTCAGCACGCTCTCAGCAGTGGCAGCTCGCTCTGCCGCTTAGAATATGGTGGCAGCTCGCCGCCTTGTCGTCCTCGTCCTCGTGGCATCCCGTGCTGGCGCCCACTTCCTGTTCCAGCGTGCGCCGCATGCCACTCAAGTCGTTCTGCCCCGCGTCGCCGAGCGCGACGTCGACGCCGCCGCCGCAGCGATCATCCGCGTGCATGTACTTGCCGGTGCCGAGGAGCGCGGAGCGCTTCGAGAAGCGCTCCGGCGTTCGGCGGCGCCGACGCCGGCCGCCGAGGCGGATATCGACGCCGCACCCCGCGTCGGGCCGACATCACACGGTCGGCCTGCTGCCGCAGCCTGGTCCTGCGGGCCTTGGGACTACCTGGAGAGAGTCCGAGAGCACTTCGAGACGGTGTCGGCGCCGGTGCCATCGGCGCCGCGGCACCTGGCCGGCGACTGGTCCAACAAAACGGCGCTCGTTGTTGGCGCTCGCGCCGCGGACCTGCTGCAACTCGCAAACGTCAACAACTTCAGGCGCGTCGACGCCGTCGACGCCGTCGCCGCGAACGTGGTCGCGATCCTGGCAACGGCGCGGGACAGCGGGCTCTCACGCGACCGGGTCCACGTCTGGCAGAGCTGCGGCCAGGGCCTCCGGCCGGCCGACGGCTTCTACGCGCCGCCGGTGGGCGAATACGATTTCATCGACCTCGCGCCCGCGGTCTCGGCGGACGTCCACGTGACGCTCCGGCGGGGCGCCGCCTACGGCCGAGAGGCCTGGCGCCAGATCTTGCCCGACGCCCACTGGCGGGCGCGGCCGTACGCCCTCCGCTGGGACCGGCACGGGGACGGGAGCTACCACGCGACGCCGCGCCTCGCCTGCACCGCGCGGCGGGCGCTGTTCGACGACCTCGCCGCCGCCCTCCGGCCCGGCGGCGCGCTCCGAGTCCGCCTCGAGCTCGTCGACGACGCCGCGCCCCACGACGCATCGGGGTCCCCCCCCGCGGTGGACCTCGTCTCTGGCCTCGGCCAGCACGAGGTGCCGCGCCGTCACCTGCGCCTCTTCCTGGCGGACCTAGAAGCCGCCGGCCTCGCCGTCGACGTCGACGGCGACGGCGGCGCCGAGGTCGCGGCGGAGCGCGGCGGAGCGGGCACACTGACCGTCGTCGCTCGGAAGGAGGATGGCTTGATTCCGCGATTCCGCGCCGATTCTGCGGAGGAGGAGGGCGCGTGCTTCGAGGAGCTCCCCCTGCCGATGCCGGCGTACGCGCGGGCGGCGCCGGTCGCCGAGGGCGGCCCGACCACCGTCGCCCTCTGCTTCCGCGGCGCCGTCGCGCGCAAGACGGCGAAGAGCTACCGCAACGAGGCCCCCCTCTCCGGGCTGACGGCGCCCTTCGTCGACGTGGCCAAGACGGCCGCGTTCGTGAGGCGTCACGTCGTGGACGCGAACCCCTCCCTCGGCTTCTCGGCCTTCTTCCACTGCTGGCATCCCGAGCTGGAGGCGACGCTGCGGGAGGTGCTGGCGCCGCCTCCCGGCGGCGGGCGCTGCGAGGAGAACGGCCCGCTCGAGCCGGAGTTCCGGCGACGAGGCGGCGGCGCGTGGCCCGTCCTCTCCTACACGTACTCGCTGCGGGCCTGCCTCGCCCTCGCGGCGGCCGCCGGGCCCTTCGACTTCTTCGTCGGCCTCCGCTTCGACATGGTGCTCTGGCGCGACCTCGCGCCGCTCCCAGCGCTCGTCGGCGCCGGGGCCCTCCGCGTCGACGGCCAGCCGACGCCGGAGCCGGGCGGGGCCGGCGCCGGGGCGGGCGCCGGGGCGCTCTACGTCGACGCGCAGCTCGAGCCGCCGGGTGGGGGCGACGCGGTCTGGGCGGGCCCCTGGGCGGCGGCGGAGCGCCTGGCGGCGGCCATCGACGAGGGGTCCGTCGAGAATCACACGCACCGCGTGAGCCCGGCCTCGGCCGTGAGCGGTGTCTACGGGCCGCACCACTGCATCGCGGCCTGGCTCGGGGAAGCCTTCCCTGGTCCCGACTACCGCCTGCTCCCCATCAAGGCCTACCGCCTCGATATGGAGCTCCTCCGTCTGGTCGACGACTTGATCCCCGAGCCCGCCGACGCCGGCGGCGCTTCCTGCCGCGAGATGCCAGCCTCATAGCTTCACTTCACTTTCTTTTCCCGAGTCACGAGTCGGACTGAAATTCCGGCCTGTGCCGTCCTGTCCGTCCGTCCCGGGCCTTGACGGTGTAACACATCCCGCCGGCGGGCTATGTTCGTCCCCCTGTGATCCATCCTCTCCAGGGCCGAGCTCTGTCGAACGTGAGCGCCCCTGTGACTCATCCCCGAGGCCACGCCTCGTTCGACCCGTCCCCGCCCCGGACCGCGCTTCGTTCGAACAGCAACAGCGGAACTAGTTACCGCGTCGCGCGCCGTCAAACACGCCCGCCTCAGATGATGCGCGGGCCGTCGGCGATGCCGAAGAGCTTCTCCGCGCGGTCGTGGAGGGAGACCTTGGGCGCCTCCGGGGCCTCGTGGGGCAGGTTCAGGATCGTCGAGTGGTCGAGCGTCTCGTCGACGCCGCGGACCGTGTCGAGCATGACGTGGCTCGACGGCAGGCCGGGAAGGCGCCCGACCTCTTGCGCCATCAGGTCCTCGCTCTGGATGCGCATGGCGAGGGCGCTCCCGTACTGGCAGCGCGCCTCGTAGAGCTTCGCCGTCCGGTTGTCCGCGCGCTTCAGCTGGGCCTGGAGCGGGTGCTCGCGGCCGCTCGTCGCCGCCGACGCGCTCGGGGGCGCGTGGACCGACCGGATGGGCTCGGGGAAGGCGAGCTGGGACATCGTGTGTTCGCGCGCGGGCGTCGAAGGCGGCCGGCGGTCGTCGCGGAGGGACTCGAGCTGCTGCCTCTGCCCGCCTGCTCGAGGCGCCGGGGGTCGGATTTGCCGACGAACGCGCGCGGCGCGCGACGCCACCCGTGGGCGGACGCCTCTCGCACCGAAGCGCCTAGCTAGGGCTGGGCGGGCCAGTTCGGCGCGGCGGCGCCGCGCCCCGTACCGCGCGGTGCGCTGCGGCTGCGGCGCGGCGGCGCGACGCCGCGCGCCTTCGGTACTTGGACAATCACGCCGCGGGCCGCCGTGTCGCCGCCCTCGGCGCGGATCAGCACTTGCGCGGGCATGCCCCGACCTTCGAGGACGCTAGAGACGAACCGCAGTCCGGCGGTGCCCTCGGCGGTGTTGGTATATGAACGGCGTGCGCTACTCGTGTGGCGGGAGACTGGCCTAAGGTAACTCATATATAACTAACTTAGCTTGAAGTTGGCAGCGCAGTGGTCTTGTATCTACAACCTGGCTTTAAGACAGTCACAGCGAGCGACGAAGGATACATATCTGGATTTCTATGACGTTGCTCCTTTTCTTTCTTACTCACTTAACTCCAGCGATTGAGGACAGAGAGCCCGATCGCAGATTAGGCTGCCTACTTGAGTAGGGAGTCTACTAACTAGATTTTACCATACCCTAGCCAAGAGTCAGGCTGAGGGCAAGTTACCTCCATATTTTGGTCCCAGTTAACGGAAACTGGAGTCCTCAGAGTCCACTCAGTCAGCGTTAACCGCTGAGTGGTGACTTTGGAAACTCTTTTTGGCTTTTTAACGAGGACGTTAAGAATCAAGTATGGGGGCTTTGTGGCGGGAGACTGGCCTAAGGTAACTCATATATAACTAACTTAGCTTGAAGTTGGCAGCGCAGTGGTCTTGTATCTACAACCTGGCTTTAAGACAGTCACAGCGAGCGACGAAGGATACATATCTGGATTTCTATGACGTTGCTCCTTTTCTTTCTTACTCACTTAACTCCAGCGATTGAGGACAGAGAGCCCGATCGCAGATTAGGCTGCCTACTTGAGTAGGGAGTCTACTAACTAGATTTTACCATACCCTAGCCAAGAGTCAGGCTGAGGGCAAGTTACCTCCATACTCGGCTGGCGGACCGCGCTGCTCCTCACGGTGCTCCTGCCGTCCGTGCAGGCCGGCGCGGCCTGGATCGACGCGCTCCGGACGATGGGCATGGCGAACCTCGCGGCGGCCAAGGCCATGGGCACCGTGGTCTCCGACGACGTCGCGCTCGCCGCCGCGGCCGCGTACCGCGAGAGGCAGCAGGTCGACATGAAGTTCGCGCTCGAGGCGGCGCGCGTCGCGCACTACGAGGCGGCGCGCGTGCGGTACCACAACGACGCCGCGCGCCGCGAGGCAGTAGCGCGTAGCAGCGTACGTTGAATATCACGTTGATGTCGTCAGGGATGTCGTGAGGGCAGACTTGCAGAAGAAACAGCCGTGAGACCTCACGCACTCGGCTTCGGGAGGCGCTGGCAGCTCTCCAGAAGAAGATTGCAAAGGCCGGGGAGCGCCCCGCGACCATTCCGGACGCCGCCCGAAGACCCCTCGAACGAGCCGCATCACCAACGCCCCGCACGCCGACGACCATGGAGTCGCAGCTCCCGGAGGAGGTTCTGCAGTACGTCATGGCGCATTCTACGGCCTTCGACCTCGCGCGCCTGGCCCGCGTGGCCCACACGACGCGGCGCGCCGCCGGGAAGGCGACGGT